GAAGAAGAATTAGATTATTACAGACTTACTGATGCTCTTATGGCTAAAAAGGAGAAAGAATTTCAGGATTATGCCAGAGAAGTAATTAAACTTGAATCTGCATCAACTAATAAATATATTTATCCTCTTGTGAGAGCTGTGCAAGAAGGACCAGGAGGCGGCCGTGGACCACGTTTTATGGACAAAGGTGGATTAAGACCCAGCTATCAAGCAAATGATATTACTGGAGTCCAGCTCCCTTTTTATAATTCTCAGGGATCAAAATATAATTTTCAAAAGTCTAAGGGAAGGCTAGGTTTCACATGGTAGAGAAAAATTATTTTTAAGATTAAGAAGACTTAAGTTATAGCAAGTATGACTTAAAGTGTAAATGGATTAAAATACTTATGATTTGTTAATAAAACTACTCTTTAAGTAGTTATCTGATCTGATTCTTCACAGTATTTCCACAAAGTATATAAAATTCCAAGGTTAATAGATTCATATTCCCCCCCCCCTTTTTTTTTGGCCACAGGGCACATGCGGTTACGCATGTCGAGCGAGAGAGAAATCACCCTCCAGGGAGGATGGCCACTTTCCTCCTGTCTCCTTGGGATTTTCGGACATGCACACAACAAGCACCTGGTGTGATATTCAAGCCACCAGGTCTGAGACTTGAACCATGCAATTGCCCATGTAGGATCCGGTACCTTAACCTCCCCACCACCTGCTGGCCTGATTCTTTTTTTTTTTTTAAATGGTAAAATACATATACAAGAGGTCTTCCAACATTTACAGACTGTAGACTTGTGTTTTAGGAAAAAACCACTGTGTGTCAAGATGCCCAGAGACCATAGTCAACTTAGAATGACCTATAGCTGGTGGGATATTTTCAAGAACACATTATTTATAATTTATAGAATACCACAGATCATTAGTAGCTTGATGAAGCCAGTCATATTAAATGCACCATTTCTGTGGATATTTTTCTGAAGCTATATTTTCAGCAGCTGATGGAATAAAACTCCAGTACTGCAAAAGACCCAATGTACTACAAGAAGAGGGTGATGGTGTCCAACTATTTCCAGGTTTGAGTTGTGCAGTGATGAATAGTTGGACAGCTTCCAATGAAAAACAAAGATATATTTTTAAAAATTTCAAATGGGAACCAGCAGATGGCATAATGGTTGCTGGACTTCCACATAATTCAGTGCAGTTCAAGTCCTGGACCCAGTGGCTTAAAAGCGGGAGGTGGGGGGGGGACACCAGCAGTTAGTGTAATGGCTATGTCGCTGGGCTCCCACATAGTCGACCATAGTTCACGTCCCGGACCCGGTGGCTTAAACTTATGCCGGGCGCGCGTGCCCAAAATCCTGAGAGGAGAATGGAGGAGAAGGGATTACAGTGTGGCCATCCCCCCTGGGGGGTGATTTCTCGCTATCTCTGTCTGTCTCTGGCGAGCGCACGCACCCTATAGCAAAACAACAAAAAACCTCACACCGGGGGACTAGCAACCATAATGGCTATGTAGCTGGACTCCCATGTAGTCAACTGCGGCTTGAATCCCAGACCCAGTGGCTTAAACTCACTCCAGGTGCGTGTATGTATGCCCAAGATCCCGAGAGGAGAAGGGATTGTGGTGTGGCCATCCCCCTGGGGGGTGGTTTCTCGCTTTCTGTCTCTCTGTGTCGTTCTGGTGAGTGCATGCACCCTATAGCAAAACCTCTTTAAAAAACAAAACAAAAAAAAACATACACACCAGGCACGTGTGCATGTGTGTCCAAAATCCTGAGAAAATGGAGAAGGGATTGCAGTGTGGCCACCCAGGGCATGATTTCTCACTTTCTGTCTGTGTCTCTCTGGCGAGCACATGCACCCTATAGCAAATAATCTCTTAAAATTTTGTTTCAAATGGCTACTGTTATTAGGATATATATCTTAGGTATGTGGAGATTTTTCTTAGCTATATGAACCATTGTATTTAAACACAATTATTAGGTATGTCTTTTGGCCTAGGCCATAACACTGTTAAATTATTGAGACCCAAGGGCAACATTGAGCATGTAAGCCTGAGAACCTCTGTTATGTATACTATCATTACAATTGTTTTTAGAAGTACATTATTTAATGGTGATTAATTTTTTTTCCCCATAGGGCACATGTGCTTGCCAGAGGGAGACAGATAAAGGGCAAGTAAGAAATCATATTCTCCTCCTGGGATTTTGAGAACACATACAACCGATGTAATTTTCAAGGCACCAGGTCCAGGGCTTGAACAGTAGTCAGTTATGTGGGAGTTCAGCACCTTAACCACTAAGCTACCTGCTGGTCTGGTGATTACTAATTTTAGATAGCACTATCTTCACATCATAAAACATAGATTTCTACAAAATGTATAATTGCATACAACCAATTTAGCTGAGGGAAGGCTAAATTAAACAACAGACATTACTTTTGTTTGAGATTTTTGCCATAGGGTGTGTGTGCGCTCACCAGACAGGAATAGAAAGCAATAAATCACCCCCCCTCCGCCCCACAGGGAGATGGCTTGCTACAGTCCCTTCTCTTCCATCCTCCTCTTGGGATTTTGGGCAGGCAAGTATATGCATGCACCCTGTGTTGAGTTTCACGTTGCTGGGTCTCAGACTAGAACTGTAGTTAACTATGTGGGAGAGTCCAGCAGTGTAACCATTACCCCATCTGCTGGTTCCCATTAATAGCTTTTCTCTCTTACTTGTATAACTGTACTTGCCAGACAGAGATGGAGGGAGAAAGACCCCACAGTGCGGTACAATCACACCACAAACTCCTCTGTCCCACCAGGATTTTGGGCATGCACATATGCACAGACCTGGCATATTTCAAGCCCCTGTGGGGTAGACTCTGAACCTCAGTTGGCAGGCCATGTGGGATTCAGCTCCCTTAACCAGTAGCCTCTGGGGCCGGCTGGCCCTTCACTTCTACTTTCAATTGGGTTGGGCTTTCTATTAGAGTTATGTAAAGACGAATATGCAAATATATTACAATATAGTGCAAAGAACTCTGTATAGCATACTCATTTAACGGAAATATAACTGTTCTAACTGGCTAATTTGATAAGAGAAACCTGTACATAAAATCTATGGTAATGATATAAACTAGAACTAAAGCACTGTAAGTACTGAGAGGACTCTGATTGGGGGAAAAGTAAAAATTATTCAGTATTAAAAAATGAAAGGGGTAACCAGCATCTGGCATAATGGTTATGTCACTGGACTCCCATGTAGCCAACCACGGTCTGACTCCCAGCAACGGTGGTTTAAACTTAAACCGGCCCGTGTGTGCACGTGCCCAAGATCCCCAGAGAAGGGATTGTGGCATGGCCATCCCCCCTTGGGGCGTGATTTCTCACTTTGTGTCTTTCTGGTGAGCACACACGCCATATATACCAAAGAACCTATCCAAAAAAAAAGGGGGGGGGGCAGGCCAACAGGTGGTGGCATGGAGGTTAGAGTGGCTCAATCCCATATGACCCACTCTGCACTATGAATCCTAGACCCAGCAGGTTGAACATCATGACAGGTGTGTGTGTGTGTATGCCCCAAAACCTAAAAGGAGATGAGGGATTGTGGCATGGCCATCCCCTTGGGGAGGAGAGGGAGGGTGATTTCTCACTTTCCCTTTTTGTCTCTCCTCCATGTATCATATAGCAAAAACTGTGAACAAAAGGGTAACATGGTATTAGGTTAAGGAAAATGTGTTTAGGAAAGAAATCTGCATTACAGACAATAAAGAAAATGGAAAAAGCCAATTGATAATGAAAGCATTTTAATACAATTTGCACAGTTCATATTAGCTCTCATATTTTACATATTCTTAGTTAAATACAGCACTTAACACTTCAGAGCTTCAGAGTTTAATAGTATTCACCTGTTAATACATGTCAACCACTGAATGTTCATGTTTTCACTAGACATACATTTTCATTGACTATTTCTCAAGTAGGTGCACCTTCCCCTAAATATGTTTAAGTAAAAATAAAACCAACCAACCAAAAACCAAGAAACAAAAATCCTACATAATTTGTTTTACAAGTTAATAAACATTTATGTGGATTTACAACTGTAAGCGATATATCAAAACTGACAGGCACAAGATATAATAGTGTTCCTAAGGTTGAGAAATTTGGAAAATTACAAACTAAATGGTAGCGTTCTAGTAGACAGTAATACATATTCCAAGTTTAACATTAAATGTTTGCTTAAGCAAAAGACACACTGCAGTATGAAGCATTATTATTAAATAACTGCACTAGAACTCACTCCCAAACCTGGAAATTGTCACTGCTGGCTAAATTCTTAATAAAGCATGGTATTGTTATACTGATTTTCTCATAATACAAATAATTTTATATCTCCATTGGTAAAATATGTATGTTTTAGTTGTTTTTCATTATTTAGCTTTTAATAAAGGTTGAACAAACAGCAATAATTAAAAAAATACAAAACAAAACTTTTTTATTATAGTATAGTTTATTTAATACAATGTTTAACTATAAAAGTTAATACAGTTTTGAAGTTTAAATTTTGTAAAATGCAGTTTGCAGAAGACAGTTCAATAGTTACTAATGGTAAGAGAAGCAGCATTTGGAAACTAACTTTACAATTGAGAGGACAACAGCTTTATTTCTAAATTTCATTAAAAAAATATACATCACAGTGACTTTTGAGCTAGGAAAAGAAGTACATTAACTTCATTTATGTTTTTTTCCTTCAACCAAGAGAGCAGCCACAACTTTAAACATCCCCACATACAAATACCCAATTCATTTATCAATCTTTCAAAATATTATAAACACGAAAATGGGGAAGAAAATATACATCATGTGCTTTTGGTAACACAGAAATCTGCTCAAAAAAAAAAAAATGCAGCTGAAGTATAAGTGAAACCCAGTACTCCCTCCCACTCCAGAAAATAAACAAACAAAAACCTCAATGACTTCCATCTCCAACCTAGCTGATGGAATTTTCTTATATGATTTGATATTTCTCTTCCTTTAATATTTACTTCTTTGTCACACCACAGGCCAGAGTTTTGTATGTACCTGAAAATCCCTTAAAGGCAGTTGAGAAGCCCACAAAGGCAGGTGTCAGTCAATGCTACACTTCCTGGGGCATATTAATTTTTAAACAAGTATTTATAACAAAACACATCTTTTTACAACACATCTTTTCACATCAACCTACAATCCTTGGAGAGTTTATCCAATTGTAAATGTATAAAACCTAAACTGAATAATTACTAAAAGCAGACCATTTAAAAAAATAACTGTCAGCTATATTGGTGTATTTAATGTACATTCTTGTGAAGGCAAACACAAGGTTCTGCAGAAGTTCACTATAAAATGTTCAGTGTGATGAAAACTACTAGCAAGTGAAGAATTTACTACTATAAAATATACTAAGTCGCTCCATCTACAAACTAGAAAATAAGTTATAATTGTCAGTTAATGCCACTATCTGAAGTACCAGAAGCCCAATGTGTATCCACAACATAATGGAATCTTGTTTTAAACTTTCCACTGATCACAAATGTCAAATGCCATTCAGCAAAGCCAACATGCATCAATACCACACTGGTGCAAAGACCTATCTATCAGATAAACTCTGCAACTTCTGAAGGCTTCAATTATGTAACCTAATAGAAACTACACTGCTCAAAGAATGCAACAACTTTAAAGAATGCTTTAAAGCAACCCAAACCACTTCTCCACTGTTCGTTTCATTAACATTAATTTCTTTACTGTGGCATACTGCTTACCCAGGAAAATAATTCTACATATTGAAAAAACATTCTCAACTATCCCAATCAAGCAATAAAAACAAACTCATTTAATTATCTTTAAAAGGACATTAAGTCCAAGATAACTGACATGAACTATAAGCTCAAACATAAATGTAAAACCAATTTTATGGGAAAGAAATAGCTGACTTTTAGGAAAACAATGTTCGAAGTAAAAACTAAAGATGGCACGACTACTAAAAATGTAAGAAAATGAAAGAATCATTTGAGCTATGTGCTATTCAGATCCAAATGCAGACCTTGAGGTACAGCTGATACTATTTTTATTTTGAAAATAAAATCTAGTTGATTGTCCATTCCCATCCCATTTCTTCACATATGTTCTGTAAAAACAGCTAACAAAGCTTTTAAAAAGAACTATAAATGTTTAGCATGAAGATGCTCTTTTGACAACCTAAACAGGAGAATACAGCTTATAGAAATTATTTTCCCTCTATGGTCATTTTTTTTTTAAGTTCTAACATTTGGAAAGCCCTTGTCCATAATTTAGTAGGTAATGCTCCAAGATTAAACATGGCATTTTTACTTAGCATGGAATTTTAAAAATATGCTGTCATTAAAAATCCTTTCTTAAATAGCACCTTTCCTGAAGCTCAAATATTTCATATCAAATATTTTTAAAAATAATATGCTGAATTTAAGATAAACAATAATTTGAAATAGGTAATATGTTACACAATAGCTTGGACGCTGACTCAGTTGTCCCTAACGTGAGTTTGTGGTCAGTCTCTTTAGGGTATAAGCCACCCTGGATTATAATAAACATCTACTACTTTTATCATCAAGAAAAAGAAAACAAAACTGTAAATATTTGATACTTGTTTCAAGGTATTCCAAACAATCTTATTATCATTACACTATTCATTCTGTAACTGCTACTACAATGCCAAACATATCATTGCTGTACTGATCAATAATGAGAAATATGTTAAAGCACTGCTTAATTCAGTACAAATAGCATTGGCTTGCTACTGAATTTACCAAGAATTTACCTTGGTAATAAGAATTGACACTACACTGACAAGTATTAAAGTATAAAACTCTCTAGAGTCTACCATTATATTGAAATTTTGAAATTCCTTTTCAAATGAGGCAGGTTTTGTGTTTGCTGGATGTTCAATGTTTTATTTAAAAGAGATATTATGGAATAAGAGGCCACACATCACAAAAATAGCAAAATACAGCACATAAAACTCTAATGAACTTTTTGGATATGTTTAGTGTTTAACTCTGTACTCTATCAAATTTTGCAACTTTTTACTCTACTCTATATGTCAATGTTATACATGCCCAGTTAAAATAATGTTTACAGTAATGATATAAAGCCATCGGAACAGAAAAAAGTCGTAAACATGCTATAGCCTATTGTGATACATATATAGAGAAGATGCATTTTCTTGCCGTTTGAAACTCACAGCTATGAGATTTAGAAGTCTGAGTTTTAAAAACAGAAACAAAAAACATGCAGAGTTATTAACACTCAATTCTATATAGGTTGGTGGCCAAAAGAGAAACCTTAGAAGTTACTGTGTTGATATTAACAATTTTTAGAATCTGTCTAGCTTAAGGACCTGCACAAGTGGTATGTTTTAGTGAGAAAGTTTTTTCTTATTTTAGAAAAGGGTAATAATAGTAGAACAATGTTTCTAAAAAGCAACAACTCTTGACACAAAAAGCAACATAGAATTGAGAATTAGTTTGATCTTCCAAGGTATAGTTCCTGTTAAATGCTGTATAACAGCAACTCAAACACAATCAGTACATTAACAAAAACAAAAAACAACAAAAAAACGCTTATGATTTTTGTGGACAGTTAAGTAAAACAAAACTACATAGGAAAAGCACTAATATAAAACTAGCTATGGATGGAACTATGAAGTATGACGTGTAATATAAATAACTATTTTAAAGCACAAATTACTATAAAAGCAAAAGTGATGAGCTAAGAATCTCAAGTTATTAGGATCTGGTTTCTGGGTAAAGAAACTGTGGCGAGCTTGTATTATAAATGCAATCTAAATCTCTACAAGATTTATTCTAGTAGCTTCTCTAGTTAATCATGAGAAACACGAGATTTTATAACAACGTATTACAACCATCAGTTATGCTTGTTTCCAAAAGGCTGGTTAAACAGATCAGGATACTATCGGCAGACTGTTCCAACACAAAAATGCATTCATAAAACAGTTAAACACAGCACACAGTATTACACCAAAGTGTTTTTTTTCTCATTTCAAGTTTATTAAAACTTTAGCAGTACAAATTATCCAGGTTGCAGATTATCAAAAGATCAACTCAATGAAGTTCACATTAAAAAAAAAAAAAAACATAAAACAAAAAAGTGAAAACAACATAAAAGAGATTCATTGGCAAGTCTCTAAAACTTAAAATTTGAGATAGATGGAAATACGAAGTTTACACAAATCACTCATCCACTTTTGTCTTCATCTGTTCCAGGGCTTGATTCATGATCAAATTTTTTATTTTTTTCATGTACATGGTCATTTTCTTGACCCTTTGATTTTTGGTTTTCTTTTTCCACTGAGGATCTAGTCTTCTCTTCCTCCTTATTTTTCAATGTGGAGGACTTTACCTCATTGTCCTGACTGCTTTGTTTAATTTTTGAGAATGGACTTTGATCTCTATCAGTCTTTTTTTCTCTGTTACTTGAGCTATTATGATCACGACTTTTAGAGTACATTCTTCTCTCACCTTCAGAATTTTCTTTTCTATGTGAACTCTTATTTTCTTGGTTTCTGTATTTTTCTTTGTTTCTGCTTTGACTTTCTTCTCTCTCTGAGCTTCGTGAATCTCTCCTCCTTCTCCTCCTGTCTTTACTTCTCGATCTTCCAGGAGTTTCTCTTCTCTCTCGACTTCGTGACCTTCCTCTTCTCCTGTACTCCTGTTCTCTGTATCTATGGTATTCCTTGCTTCTGCTACGATCTCTGTCATGGCTTCTAGATCGCACTCTTCTGGTCCTGTCCCTACTTCTGCTTCGTTCCCTTGTTCTACTATTGTAACTGTGCTTACCTCTAGTTACATCATGCTCTCTACTCCTAGACTGTGCACGTCTATCCTTTTCCTTACTTTTATTATGATCGTGCTCATTACTTTTTGATTCTAACTGTTTGGACTTCTCTTTACTTCTACTCCTTTCCTGATCTTTTCCTTTAGAATCGGACTGCTTTTCTTTTTCTTTCACATCATGATCCCTTTCTTTACTTCTTGACCTCACCCTCTTTTCTTCATGTCTGTTATGTTTTGAATCTCTTTCTTTGCTCTTTGATTTCTCTTTGCTCTTGCTCCTACTTTTAGATTTCGCCCTTTTCTTCACTTTGTTTTTATATTTGTCATCTTTCTCTGAATTTCTTTTGATGTCTGTCTCTTTGCTGTTAGATTTATGGTCTTTAACTTTCTTTTCCTTTTCATTCTTTCTGTTTGGACTCTCAGATAGATGTCTGTAATCAGTTATTTTTCTCTCTTTTACTCGTACTGGGCTTCTTTGATTTTCTTTTATTTCATTCAACTCACTCCTAAAAAAATTAGAAAAAAAGATTTCTGGAAATATTATTTAGAAAAAGAATGATGTACATTGTTAGCTAAAAGCTAAAATTATATTCTATTTTCTTTGAGGTATTCAAAAATAATTAAAATGACTATAATGAAGTAACTTTACAATAGTTAAAAAATACTTAACACTACATTCGAAATAAGATAGTTAAATCTTACTTATCCCCTTTGATCCATCTTTCGCCACTTGATACTCTCATCCTCTGAGCTCTCTGCATCTCTTGCCTCCAATGTGGAGGAGTCTCACTACGTCTGAAACGATCCCTTGATCTGGATCTAGAAGGTGTTCGATATCGCTTAAAAAAACAAAAAAAGGGGAAAAAATTATGTACAGAAAAATTGTAAAATATTATACAGTAGATATTTCTAGGTTCAAATAAAATGTCTCTTATTTCTCCTCTAAAACTGTATTTCAACTTCTTAGGGATGAAATCATTAAGGCAGAGAAATATTAAGCAGTCATATCACGATTATCAAATAAGGAACATCAACAATAAAAAGTCTAGTAACCCATATCTTCTCCATGTTAAGAGTTCTATCCAAGTGATGCTGGAGCATACTAGTGTGAGAACTTTTACAAGCTGCCAAGTTTCAATTTCAGTGTCATGTCCACTTGATGTATAAAAGCAGACACTTTCCTATCGATAAAACTGAGTAAACACATAGATGCTCATTTACTGGAGAAATATTTACTTAGCCTTTAAGATGACCAACAACCCAACCATGTACTAAGGAAACATTAGTGAGCCAAGATGTATCTGATTTTGCTCTCCTGGGACCTTTATACTATAGGATAGGACACATGGATAGACATACAATGACAGATACCAAATACAGCTACTGTGGGAGTGTAAAAGAAGTAAAGGGTGCTCAAAGAATACATAACAAAGATATCTGACCTAGTATGGAACCTTGAACAGTTAAAATAATTAAAGCTGAGAACAAAGAATGCTTATGATGAGTTTACCTAAGGAAAGATGAGGAAAAGGAAATAAAGTGGGATAAGGATACATGGGTGAGGAAAGGCACAGTCATAAGAAATGGCATTTAAAAAAATTTTTTTTTGATTTTTTTTTTTTTCTATAGGGCACATGTACTCACTAGAAAGACAGAGAGAGACAGAGACAGAAAGCGAGAAATTACCACCACCTCCTCCCCCCCACCCCACCCAGGGAGATGGCCACGCCGTAATCCCTTCTCCATTCTCCTCTTGGGATCTTGGGCACGCACGCAAACATGCCCAGCGTGAGTTTAAACCACCAGGTCCGGGACTTGAACCGTGGTTGACTACATGGGAGTCCAGCGACATAGCCATTACGCCAACTGCTGGTCCCAGAAATGGCATTTTTGAAGGTTCTGAGAGATAGAAACAGCATATTTTCAAATGATCAGATTAAGTATAGCTAAAGATTAAAAGTACATGGAAGATAGTACAGATAATACTGAAGAAGTAAGCAAGGACTAGGTTTTGTGTGACATAGTAGGCCATGGAACTATCTGCTGTAAAAATATACCAGAAAAGTCATGGTGTATTTTTTCAATATAAAAATGTGTCATGACTTTTCTAACAACCCAATAAATAATTTTGTGTTTATCCTTAAATTAATAGCAAAGAAAGAACACAATCAGATATTCATGTTTAAATGACTATTTTTAACTATTATTAAGAGAAAGAATGAGATCAGTGATTCTCAAAGTATGGCCTCAAGATTCAAAGATTCAGGGCATATGAGAAATCCAAAACTGTTTTCATAATATCACATTATTTGCCTTATTCACTTTCATTATTATATAGAATGATTCACAGACTACATGACATGTTTTAAGATCATTCTTTTCTTTAAGAGAGATTTTTATTATAGGACATGTATGCTCGCTGGACAGACATAGACAGAGACAAAAAGCAAGAAATCACCCCTCAGGGAGGATGACCACGCTACAATCCCTTCTCCAGCTCCTCTCAGGACCTTGGGCATGAACACACATGAACCCGGCATGAGTTTAAAGCTGCCAGGTCCAGGACTTGAACTACATGGGAGTCCCCAGCAACATAATCATTATGCCATCTGCTGGTCCCAAGATCATTATTTTCACAACTACTGGAACATGTACCCATATTCTTGTATTTCAAGTATTTCTCCATTTTAATTTCTAAAAAAGTAAATGTGGATAGGCCTAATCCACATCAGCAAAAGCTCTTTTAGATCCTCAATTATTTACTTTTTTAGTTTGCTACTAAAAATAAGCACTATCCAGAGACAGAAAAAAAAAAAGTGAGAAAGTGAAAAATCACTCCCAGGGGGATGGCCATACAGCAATCCCTTCTCCTCCATTCTCTTGGGATTTTGAACACACACGCAGAGGTCCTGAGTATGATTTTCAAGCGGCCAGGTCCGTGACTTGAGCCTTGCAGATAGCCAGCTGCTTCTGTGCCACCTGCTGGCCTGATTGACCCTCAATGATTTTTAACAGTATAAACAGGTACGAGACAAAAAGTTTGAGAACCACTAAACCCTAGTTATGAAGCCATTTATGTAGTTCTGACACTTAGGATGATGAGCTGAATTAACATGGTTGGAACGAGATTAAAATCAGTGAATGGGCTTTCCAATTTAGTCCAAGGAGAATGGCTCCTGCAAAGGGTGATGAAAAGAAAGGCCATTCTGCCATCAACAAAGCGGTGACCAGAGAACATGTCATCAACATTTACAAGGACATCCATGGCATGGGCTTCAAGAAACATACCCTTGGGGCACGTAAAGAGATCCAGAAATTTGCCATGAAAGAGATAGGGACTCCATTTATGCTCATTGATACCAGGCTCAACAAAGCTGTCTGGGTCACAGGAATAAGGGATGTACCATACCCCATCTGTGTGCAGTTATGCAGAGAATGTAATGAGGATGAAGAGTCACCAAACAAGCTCTACACTCTGATAACCCATGTACTTGTTATTACTTTCAAAACTCTATAGTCACTGTAGATAAGAACTAACTTCTGATTTTCAAATAAAGTTATAAAACAAAAAACAAACAAAAATTCAGTGAATGGCAAGGCAGAAAGTGAAAAATCACTCCCAGGGGGATGGCCATACAGCAATCCCTTCTCCTCCATTCTCTTGGGATTTTGAACACACACGCAGAGGTCCTGAGTATGATTTTCAAGCGGCCAGGTCCGTGACTTGAGCCTTGCAGATAGCCAGCTGCTTCTGTGCCACCTGCTGGCCTGATTGACCCTCAATGATTTTTAACAGTATAAACAGGTACGAGACAAAAAGTTTGAGAACCACTAAACCCTAGTTATGAAGCCATTTATGTAGTTCTGACACTTAGGATGATGAGCTGAATTAACATGGTTGGAACGAGATTAAAATCAGTGAATGGGCTTTCCAATTTAGTCCAAGGAGAATGGCTCCTGCAAAGGGTGATGAAAAGAAAGGCCATTCTGCCATCAACAAAGCGGTGACCAGAGAACATGTCATCAACATTTACAAGGACATCCATGGCATGGGCTTCAAGAAACATACCCTTGGGGCACGTAAAGAGATCCAGAAATTTGCCATGAAAGAGATAGGGACTCCATTTATGCTCATTGATACCAGGCTCAACAAAGCTGTCTGGGTCACAGGAATAAGGGATGTACCATACCCCATCTGTGTGCAGTTATGCAGAGAATGTAATGAGGATGAAGAGTCACCAAACAAGCTCTACACTCTGATAACCCATGTACTTGTTATTACTTTCAAAACTCTATAGTCACTGTAGATAAGAACTAACTTCTGATTTTCAAATAAAGTTATAAAACAAAAAACAAACAAAAATTCAGTGAATGGCAAGGCTGGCCCTATGGTTTCCCAGTGGTTAAGGGAGCAAGATCTCACATGGTTGACAGTGGTTTGAATCCAAGACCCAGTGGCTTGAAACAAACATGGCATATGTCTATGTGTGCCCCTTAATCCTGACAGAATGGAGACATGGAGAAGGGACTGAAGAATGACCATGTCCCCCTGGGAGGTGCTTTCTTTCTCTTTCTCTCTATGTCTTTCCCATCTCTCTAGTGAGATCACATACCTTCTGGCAATTATTTAAAAAATAAATATCAGATGGATTTCAAGAGTACTGAGGAGAGGGACTGGCAGTTAGCATAATGGCTATGTTGCTGGACTCCCATGTAGTCGACCATGGTTTGAGTCCCGGACCTGGTGGCTTAAAAATCACGTTGGGCGCGTGTGCGTGCGTGCCTAAGATCCCGAGAGGAGAAAGGAGGAGAAGGGATTGTGGCGTGGCCATCCCTCTTGGGGGGGGGGGGGGGATTTCTCGCTTTCTGTCTCTCTGTCTTTCTGGCAAACGCATGCGCCCTATAGCAAAAACTTCTCTAAAAATAAAAAGAGTACTGATGAGGTAGAAATGAAAGGATTCAGTGATAAATAAGATACAAGGTAGGACTGAAAGAACAGAATCATATAGGTGGTGGTGCAAATAACTGAGACCAAAACAACAAAAAAAGGATCAAGCATGAAAAGGATGTGCTTATGCTAAGTTTGAAGCATTCATTAGTCAGATATGCCTTAGGTGGAAAGAAAAGCAGATGAAATTTGACAGGTAACAGCTATGGGAACCATGAGATTGACCAAGGATGATAAGCAGTGTGAGAAGAGTTGGAACCTAAAAATAACACAATATTTAAAAGTCAGTTGAAAATATGAACTAACACTGGGAATTTAAGGTAGACTGATCAATGTTACAGAGAGAATATGACCAAAATTATAGGAAAAGAATACTACAAGGAGGGAGATTAAAACAAATACTGAAAAGGATCCACTGGATTTTGTGGCACGTAGCTGACCATATACAACAAGTATTGTTTTTAACAGAATTTCTGATGAGGGTAGAAGACAAACTGAAATGGTTGAGGAATAAGTAAGAAGTGAAGAAATAAGATAGGAAGTATTGTCAATTTTCTATAAAGTTTTAAAAATAATAGAAGATACTTAAAATCTGATGGGGATAACCCAGAAGACAGAAAAAATATAAAATACAAGAATAAGGTTAATTTTTATTTATTTTTTAAAAAGAGTAGAGAGACACAGTGATCAGGAATAAAAGGCACAAGAGAAACCTCAATCCCACTTTATACCACGTAAACCTTAAATTCATTTATATCTTACAGATTTCCAGTTTAGAAATATCCACACACACGTTAGTATAAAAAGAAAACATATAATCCAATATGCACATCTGCCAAATTTTAGTTAACTTATACAGTTAAAAAAAAAAAACCACACATTTAATAAATATCTAGAATTATTTAAATGCAATACTATTAAGATTTCTGGAGAAAGAACCACCTACCCTTGGTCCTCTTCCTTTAATTTTCCTGCCAGACCTAGTAACCAAAAGTCGTCTCTGATATGAAGCAGGCTGGGAGTTTGGTGGATTACTAGAAAGATGCAAAGGATAGTTAAAATACATTATTAAAAAAAAAAAAAAGAACCTAAAGAATGCAGCCTACCTCATCTAAAGTCATTAGACTTAACTGTACACATCAGTGGTTCTCAATCAAAAATACTATTAATTGCTAGTAAATATCTAGGAAAGTATAGGACTGTTTTTTTCCAACTACCAATGACTAGATGGTGCTACTGGTTATTATCAAGAATCAAGATGCTAATATTCTAATGTGTGAGGATGAAGCCCAACCTGTTCTGAGATACCAACTGCACCCTGCTGAGGAACACTGTTATATACTCATTACCAAGATAAAGCTAATTTGATAGCGATGGGGGGAAAATTAATTTTGAAGAGCACGAAAAGGGCTACATGATGTTGAGAACAATGTTAAAACAATCTTATTTCCTAAGTATCTTATTATCCTATAAGCGCTGTTCATTGGTAAATGGACTATAAAGAGGGGGGATCAGCATATGGCATAATGGTTACATTGCTGGACTCCCACACGGCCAACTGTGGTTTAAGTCCCAGATTTGTCAGCTTAAAACTCACACCAGGTGCGTATGTGCCCAAAATCCCAAGATGAGAATGACGGAGAAGGAACTATGGCATAGACATCCCCCCTATGGGGGTGATTTCTCATTTTCTCTCTCTCTTGGGCGAGCATATGCTCCCTATAGCAAAAATCTCTCTTTAAAACAACAATAAAAACTATTAAAAAATGTAAGTAATGTGCATCAAACAGAGAAAAGCTGCTCTGAATTAGCTAAATGTTCATATCATGGTTTATAAAAAAGGAAAACCTTGTTTTCAAACAGTTGCATAACTTAATATTTTCATTAGTACATTAACAACATCCATCCGTGCTGGCAGGTGGTGTGGTGCTTAGGGGTGCAGAACTCCCACATGGCCGATCACAGTTGGAGTCCTGGACCCATGGCTTGCTTTCTCACTTTTCCCCTCTCTCTCTCTCACTCTGTCACTCTCTGGTCAAATTAAAATAAACAAATATATGGGACCAGCAATTGGTGTAATGGTTAAGTCACTGGACTCCCATGTAGTCGACCGTGGTTCAAGTCCCAGATCCGGTGGCTTACACTCATGCCGGGCTCATGTGCATGCATGCCCAAGATCCCAAGAAGAAAATGGAGAAGAGATTGTAGCGTGGCCATCCCCGCTGGGGGGTGATTTCTCACTTTCCATATCTCTATCCCTCTCTGTCTTTCTGGCGAGCGCACAAGCTCTATAGCAAAAAACTCTCCAGAAAACAACAACAAAAAAACCCACAAACACAAATACATAAATTTCAATCATTCTTAAAAAAAAAAAAAAATCCATAAATGATGATTAAAAAGTCTACTTTATTGCAGTTCAAACATTTCCTCTTTAATCATTATTTCCTTAGAAACATCATTTCCATTTCTTGCTTTCTATCTCTCTGTCTTTCTGGCGAGTGCACGTGCCCTATAGCAAAAACCTCTCAAAAAAAAAAAAAAAAGTTTAATATTTACAATAACACAGCAATACACATTCATTTAATGGGTTGAAAACTACTGTGTTATTGGTTTGGAATGCCATTTAAGTTTTTTTCATTTGTAGTGCTTTTAAATTAAATTTTACTCAAAATCTGCTTGTAATTTAAGTCAATGTATCTTTCTAGCTATGTGGTTAGCAAAAAGAGGTTTGCTGACAACATCCTGTAAATAAGATTTCAGTATTAGGACAAAGTTATCAATTAAAGGTTGTCTTAAAATAAGTAAAACTTCTGAAAAAGAAATGTCCTACACTAATGTATGTAGAATACTTAACAAAATATATGCATTTACATACCACTCTCTTTCTCTCTCTCTTTCTCTGTTTTTTCTTTCCTTTTCATCAGCTTTAGGAGGACTTTTTCTCATTAGGAATCTATTTTCAGGAATAGGAGGGATCTCTTCTGGACGGACAGTTGACTGGGGTTGTGCTTCAAGATTTTCAGCTTCACTTTCACTAGATGCACTTAGTATATACAATCACAAAAGTTACGTTTGGTTATTAGATATCTACCTGAAATTTCTAATCATTAGCATTTCTCCCGTTATCAGTATATACACTGTCCTGTCTCTCTTAAAAGATGTAATTAACTGTGAAAAATCTTCATTCCTCTATCAAGCCAACCAAAACAAAATGCTTTTGTTATCGCACTCTCAAAAAATATTTTCCCATAAGACAGATCCAAGATTTGAAACTTTGGGCAACACAGCCCTAACTGTTTAAAATACATTAAAACACAGGTAAAGAAATTGCTTTTGAGGTAACTGGCAAATAAACACAAGTTTCAGGGCCCAGATGCAGTAGCACACATTGCCAATGGGCTGCGATCTGTATGCTGAGACCACATGGGAGGCCTGGGTTCAATTCCCAGTTCGACCTAAAGACCAGCAAGCTGGTGTATGCCAATAATACCAGCAGCCATCTGAGGTGGCTGAAGCAAGAAGAATGCTAGCTCAAGGCTGGCATTTCTCGCTTTCTGTCTCTATGTCTCTCTCTGCCTGTCTGGCGAGTACATGCGCCCTATAGCAAAAACCTCTCAAAAAAAAACCCAAAAAAACAAAAAAACAAAAAAAAAACATGCTGAGGCATGTGTAATACAAATCATTTCCAAAATAATTTCAGTATAAACACGAATTATTTCAGAAAAACAAACAAACAGTAAATACACAAACAGTAATAAACACACTGACATTATCTGCTTTCACCTTTGGGCTATCATAAAAGCAAGGAGATAAAATTTAAAAAGCAAGATACCATTAGAGAAAACAAGAAAAATTGTTGATTCCTTATTATTCTAATTTCACAATCAACCCACAAAATATACAAATTTAGGGTGGTGCGGTGGTGAAGGGTGCTGCACTCCCAAATGGCTGACCGTGGTTTGAGTCCTGGAGCTTGCTTTCTTACTTTCTCTCTCTCTCTCTTACTCTGTCCCTCTCTGGTCAAAATTAAAAAATAAATAAAATTAATAAATAAGGCTAAATAAAATCTTTAAAATATATAAATTTATAAAATCAAAAGCATCAGCTCATAGAGTGCACATGAATTAATACTCTTGATAAAAATAGAAATGAGGAGCCAGCAGGTTGCATTACAGTTAAGAGTCTGAACTCCCAAATGGATCACTACGGTCTGAGTCCCAAATCCGGCAGCTTGAAAATCACACCAGGCCCATGTGTGTGCATGCCCAAAATCCCAAGAGGGAGAAGGAACTGTGGCGGGGCTGTCCACCCTAATGGGTAATCTCTCACTTTCCTTCTATCTCTCTCAGGTGAGCACAGGTGCCCTATGGCAAAAATTTCAGGGAGGAAAAAAAAAAGTATTAATGAATAGGGCCAGCCAGCAGTGGTTAAGGTGCTTAGATCTCACACTGGCAACTATGTGGCTCAAATCCCAGATCCTGTGGCTTGAAAAACACACCAAGTATGTGTGCATGTGTGCCTAAAACCCTGAGAAGAACTGAGGAAAATGGACTGTGGTGTGGACATGCTCCTAGGGAGCGATTTAGCACTCTTCCCCTCTCTGACTAGTGTGCACACACCCTACAGCAACAAACAAAAGACCAAATGTACCCAAATTCAACATACAGACTATAAAACATCAGAATGGTCTAGGGGCTGGCAGGTAGCATGGTGGGTAAGGGTGCTAGACTCCCACATGGCCAATCATTGTTTGAGTCCTGGACCTGGCAGCTTGCTTTCTCTCTCTTGCTCTCTCTCTCTCACTCTCTGTCCCTCTCTGCTCAAAGTTTAAAATAAATAGAGTTAAATAAAAAAATAATTATTTAAAAAAATGGTCTTAGGATATTTAGGCTGTTTCCATTTAAATGTAAAATCCCAACGGTCCCATTCATAAATAAAAGACAATCTGAATATAAAGCTAACAGGTTGCCAGAAAAGTCATGATGCATTTTTGGAAAGAAAAACATGGGAAAAAAAATATGTCATTACTTTTCTGACAACCTAATAGTATTATTAAAAATTAGCCCAGCCATGGTGGTGCGGCAAATGCACAATACTTTGCAATGCTACAAGAAATTTGGAAGATATAGTTAGTTCCCTCATTGGCCTGTACATGCCAGCTGCAAAGGATCCCAGGAAAGGCTTCGGAGCAGGCTGTATAAAATCACCTTGTGAGATCTCATTAAGAAAGACTTGTCTTTCTCTCATGAAATAAACTAAAAACCAAATAAAAAAGTAAAATTAAGACCTTTTCTTGCTTTTCTTTCGCTTCTTCTTTTCTTTCTTGTGTTTTCGAGAATTTTTCCTATGTTTCTTTTTCCTTTTTTTTGACTTCTCTTCAGAAGCACTTTCAGAATCAGAAGAATCAGAAGATGACTGAGAATCGCTTGAACTATCTGAATCACTGGATGATGAAGATGATGATTTGTGTCTTTTCTTTTCTTCTTTCTTAACTTTAATGAAAACAAAACAGCTCAGGTTAATAATTTTTAGGCAAACTCTTTTTTAAAAAAAGAATTATTTCATTTTATTTATTTCTTATTCTTCAATTTGACTAGAGAGAGAGAGACAGAGAAACAGAGGGCATGTTGCCAGGTCCAGGATTTGAAACATGGTCATCCATGTGGGAGATCCAGTGTCGTAATCCCCATGCCACCTGCCAGTTCCTAGGCAAATTCTTTTTTATAAAATAATTATTTATTTAATTTCACTCGTTATTATTATATTTATTTATTTATTGCTATAGGGTTCATGCGCTCGCCTGAAAGAGAGAGAGACAGAAAGACAGAAAGAGGGAAATCACGACCCCGGGGGGATGGTCATGCTACAATCCCTTCTCCATTCTCCTCTCGGGATCTTGGGCCCATACGCACACGTGTCCGGCATGAATTTAAACCACCGGACTCGAACTGCGGTAGACTACACAGGAGTTCAGCAACATAGCCATTACGCTATTGGTCCCCTATTATTATTTTTTAATTTGACGAGAGAGAGAGAGTGAGAGAAAGGGAAAGGAAGAAATCAAGCCTCCAAGTCCAAAACTAGAACTGCAGTCAGCCATGTGGGAATCCAGTGCCTTTAACCACCACATCACCTGCTGGCCCCCTTAGTCAAAGTGGAAATTTAAGTTTCCTGCAGATTCTAAATCTATTATTAAGTATTTGGCTCAACTAAGGATGGGTACAAGAAAGGAGTCAAGATTCAGGGTTAGAATTCAAATTTATGTACTAGAGTTGGTACCTATTAAGACAAAGAATTTTTTTTTTGAAGAGGTTTTTGCAGGAACCAGCGGTTAGCATAATGGCTATGTCGCTGGACTTCCACGTAGTTGACCGCGGTTCGCGTCCCGGACCCAGTGGCTTAAAACTCACACCAGGCGCGTGTGTGTGCGTGCCCAAGATCCCGAGAGAATGGAGGAGAAGGGATGAGGCATGACCATCCCCCCTGGGGGGTGATTTCTCGCTTTCTGTGTCTATGTCTGTCTCTGTCTGTCTGGTGAGCGCACGCGCCCTATAACGAAAATCTCTCAAAACAAAGTTTTTGCTATAGGGCACATGTGCTTGCCAGACAGAGAGAGACAGAAAGCGAGAAATAACCCCCCAGGGGGAATGGCCACACCGCAATCCCTTCTCCTCCATTCTCCTCTTGGGATTTTGGGCACGCACGCTCACACGCCCTGGCATGAGTTTTAAGCCATCAGGTCCGGGACGTGAACTGCGGTCGACTACATGGGAGTCCAACAACATAGCCATGACGCTAACTGCTGGTCCCAAGACCAAGAATGTTTTGAGACAAGCAGATGCATGTAATGGTTATGTCACTGGACTTCCACGTAGTTGACAATGGTTCGAGTCCCAGACCTGTTAGCTTAAAACTCATGCTGGATACATGAGCATTCCTGAGATCCTGAGAGGAGAATGGAGAAGAAGGGATTGCAGTGTGGGGTGATTTCTCACTTTTTGTCTCTCCAATGAGTGCACACGCCCTATAGCAAAAAATCTCTTAAAAAAAAAAAAAGACAAAGAATTTTTAAAATAGAGAAGTCCTAAATAGTAAAAGATGTTAATTTTTAAGAAAACTTAAACAAAGTTTTCAAAATGCAGAGTTCTATTTAAAAGTCCTGTATTATGGGACAGCAGGTGAAATGAAGGTTAAGGCACTGGATCCTACATGACCAGCTCACGGTTTGAGTTCCAGTCTCAGACCTGGAGGCTTGAAAATCATACCAGATGCATGTGTATGAGGGCCCAAAATCCTAAGAGAGACTGGAGGAGAAGGGACTATGGTGTGATCATCTGCTCTGAGGGGTGATTTCTTACCTTCCCCTCCTCCCTGTCTCCATGTGCCCTACAGCAAAAACTAAAAACTGGAAAGAAAAAAAAAAAAAAAGAACACTTAAAATAAACAAATACATAAAAAATCCTAGAAGTAGTTTTTCTTTTATTTTTTAAGAGACTTTTGCTACAGGGTGTGTTTCTAACCAGAGAGACAGACAGACAGTGAGAAATCACCTCTCAAAGGGGATCGATCCCTTCTCCTCCACTCTCCCTCTGGGATCTCGGACATACACGCACATACATCCAGCATGAGCTTCAAGCCACTGGGTCTGGGACCAAACTACGGTTTACCACGTCAGAGTCCAGCACCTTAACCACTACCTGCTGGCCCTGTTTTTCGCTTATTCTTATGATCAAGATTGGTGATAGAGCTGGGGCACAAAAAAAGATCAGTGACAAAAACATGAGTCTATTAGCCTGTGCTTATGTTTCAATGCCATAGAATTCTTCTGATTAAAAAACTTAGCTTTATTTCATGAGCAGGCTCATAACAGAAGTCATTTTCCCGTGATAAATAACTATTTTGAGATATCTACAAAATGTCATTTCAAAGTGAAATTTCATTTTGGGTTAAGAAGGGAATTTTTTTTTTTTTTGGTAGAGGTTTTTTGCTATAGGGCGCGTGTGCTTATCAGAAAGATAGAGAGAGAGACAGAAAGCAAGAAATCATCCCCCAGGGGGATGGCCACACCACAATCCCTTATTCTCCATTCTCCTCTCAGGATCTTGGATACCCACACACAAGCGCACGGCGTATGAGTTTAAGTCATCAAGTTCAGGACTCAAACCACAGTTGACTACATGGGAGTTCAGAGACATATCCATTACGCCAACTGCTGGTCCCAAGAAGGGAATAATTTTTTAAAAACCAAAACCTCAAAAGGACTTAAAAGGACTAGAAAATTATCATAAGTAAGTAAAGCTAATAAGGTGTAATATAATAGGAATTGGAGAAGAATGAACAAACTGGATACAGCATGACCCATTTAAAGGCATACTAAGGGACCAGGAGGTGGTATGGTGATTATGGCACTGGATTCCCACATGGTCAATCATGGTTCAAGTCCCAGACCTGGTGGCTTACTTTCTTTCTCCCTCTCTCTAGTGAGCACACATGCCCTATAGCAAAATAATAATAATAATAAATAAAATTTTAAAAATAAAAATAAATTAATAATAATAAAAGGCATGCTCATGACCAGCAGATGGCATGATGGTTACATTGCTAGACTCCCACATAGTCAGTCAATCACAGTTTGAGTCCCAGAATTGACAGCTTCAAACTCATGCCAGGCAAGTGTGTGTGCATGCGTGTGTGCCCAAAATCCAGAGAATGGAAGAGTAGGGATTCCAGCGTGGCAATTCTCCCGGGGAGTGATTTCTGATTTCTTGCTTTCTGTCTCTCCTGCAAGTACACGTGCCCTATAGCAAAACTCACTCTCTCTCTCTCTCTCTCTCCCCCTCCCCAAAACACGGGGGTTGGGGGGAAGTATGCAGTTTTTTGAAAGAGAGCATGGTGGTTAAGGCACTAGATTCTGACATGGCCAACAGCAGTTCGATTTCCAGACCTGAGGGCTTGCTTTCTCGCTTTCCCTTTCTCCTGTTTTCTCTTCCAGAGAGGCAAGTAAACTTCTACCCCTTGGGACTCTCCTCTTGGTTGGCACTCCAGGAGCTGGAATGGGTTTACACCCAAACCATACACCTGGTCCCAATGTAAGTTAGACGACTAGATTTAGCAAAAGGTAAAAGCTTAAACTATAAATCCATTCTCCAGCTAGAGCTCTTCTATCACCAAGGCATATGCTTTGTAAAACCTCCTGGGCTCTTCCCTTCTGGCAGTACTCAGCTGCTCCTTATAGAAGATAAGAAATAAAATAAAAACCCAAAGGATCTTTTAGAGTTTAGGTTCTCTTCTTAGTACAGTATCTCTCTCATACATCAGAACAGATCTAGGAAAATTATTAGACAACTCAGAAAAATGCTATAATAAATTGGCAAATGTACCTTAACCTTTGATTTAACTTTCACCCGTGGTAATCGTAAAGGTTGGGAACTTAAGTTCCACCCGAAGGCAGAATCTAGAAAGTCCAGATGTATTTCCAATGCGAGGCCTGGGCACTGGAAAATGCTAATGACTGGTATCCTCCTGTCCCCACTGGGGCTTTTACCCCGACGTGGAGGAGCTGGTCACTAGAGACAGGAATACCCCAAGCTCTGAAGGGAGCCTGAGACTTCTGAGTCAATGCTAATCCTCTAAAATTGAGTATTACTGGGGCCTGAGGCCCCAATAGCTTCCCTTGGACATCTGGAAGACTCAGTAGACAAGCCTCATGTAACTTTAAAGTGACAAGAATGTGTTCTTTTTCTTTTTTTTGAGAGGTGTTTGCTATAGGGTGCATGCGCTCGTCAGACAGACAGAGACAGACAGAGAGACAGAAAGCGAGAAAGCACCCCTCAGGAGGGATGGCCATGCCACAATCCCTTCTCCATTTTCATCTCAGGATCTTGAGCACACACACACACACACACACACGTGCCCAGTGTGAGTTTCAAGCCACCAGGTCCGGACTCGAACCGTGGTTGACCTACATGGGAGTCCAGCAACATAGCCATCACGCCAACTGCTGGTCCCAAGAATGTGTTCTTTAAGGTTTCTAAATGAGAGGTTAAGATTATTTCCAAAAGCAAACTTAAAAAGGGGAAAAACAAGGAAAAATAATAGTAAAGAGGAAAGAGAGAATTATAAAGAATAATAAAATTCTTCTTTTTTTTTTTCAAGATAAGTTCTTGTTCTAATCAGCTCTCAATATTCAAGAAAAGTTCCAAAAGCCCATGCAGGGGTTATGAGTGGCATGGGATGACCCCCTTCAGGCTGCTACTACTGCCTAGTAGTATCAAGTGCCAACAGGAGATCCTCCAACTGCCACTTCACAGAATTCTGGTTTGGCTTTTCGAAGTTCCCCTGTTATGTCAGATTGTCTTTGTCCTAACACTCAAGTTTCTTGTAAAAAAAAAAAAAAAAAAAAAAAAAAAAAAAAAAAAAAAAAAAAAAATTGCAACCATAGTTTTGTTGAGAGAAAGTGCTAATTCACAAAATCCACTACCTATCCAGTCAC